TCATTCCACGCAGCTACTCCCCGAAATGATAAAAAATTTTGTCTAATGAATGTGTCTGTTCTGAGCTTGAAAATGTTCTTAGTATGTCCCCGCCGTGTGTTTGCTGGGTCAACGGTGAAAACCCTGTTTGCCAAGCTTTGTTCAGACAGGGCATATGTACGAATTAGGTCCCCTCGGAGGCTACGGTACTCCAGGGGAAAGAGGTCAAGCATCACGAGACTAGTTTCGTATTCCACGGATTTGAGACCGTAAAACCATTCCCGTAGCAGCTCGCTGGACACGCTCAAAAGAAATGAAGTCCTTCGTGCGTTCAGATTAGATAACTTTGTTTGCGGAGCGGTCTGACGTAGGCCCCATACAGCATTTGGGAGTCCATGCGAGTAATACGGAAGAAGGTGCGTTGGATCATCCGTAAAATTGTGAATGGCTTTTGGGCAGTGTTGCTCTGCCATGGTGCAGTGAGAGGGACGATTTTGAGGAGACCCAGATGCCCAAATAGTTTTTGGCATCTATCCTCACGATGTTTTCTGGTCCTTTCTCACCATGCATAACAAAGGCATTCGCTGAATCCCCTCCAAACGACACATGGACGCACTTTTCATCATTCAGAGGAAGGTGCCAGTCCAACGACCACTGCTTGGCATCCATTTGGAGGGCACTGGCATTGGAACTCCAGGATTTCAAGTCGTCCGCAAAAAGTAAACATGGACTCGCAAGAACGTCTGGGAGGTCGTTGACGTAGATCAGAAACAGGAGTGGTCCCAAGACGGAGCCTTGAGGAACTCCAATGGAGACCGGCGCTGGAGAGGAATAGGTCGAGCCTATTCTCACTCGGAATGATCTGTCTGATAGGAACGCCTTGATCCGGCGAAGGATTTTCCCTTGAATCCCGTAAGACTCGAGCTTGTGGAGCAGCGCGACGTGTGGGATCCTATCAAATGCTTTTGAGAAGTCGAAAAATATGGCATCCGAGATGAGTCCTTCATCCTTGGCTTGGGTTAAGCTGTCCATAAACACGAGCATGTTTGTCACGCAAGAACGGTTTGGGAGAAATCCCTATTGGTTTCTTTTTAATTATCGGCCCTTGATACACACAAGCCCTTGGTGTGCCCCCTGAAAAAGCTAGTTTGTGAGTACCAGACATAGAAATGAGCTTCTGCATTATCGTCATTACAAATGGAGAACGAAGACACGTGATGTCCATTGAATTTAGACATATATGCTAATTGCTGCAATACCACCAAATGTAGTTTGAGAAAACTGAAGTGAAGATCATCGATTCAGTGCGTGCCCGAACGCCAGCAGCCAGTACCAGTAAGAATTTCGCATCTCCAGCCGCTGTCATACTCGTTGCGGCTTTGATGAAAGGGCCAGCAAACAGTCCCATATATTCGGTGATCAAGCGCCGCTGTTCAATACGCGTTACGAATGCAACGGGCTGGTTGAGAAGGACAATGACGACTTATCACGTTTGCTAGTGCTGTAAGCCACCGATGAAAGCGCGAAAAAGATCACCTCTGTCATGTCAGGATCTCTGTATGAGGTCTTCACCCACCCCTCAATACAGAAATTGGAAATCGGGTGCTTCAAATTTCAACAGGGCACACATTTGGCGCAACAGC